ATCCCACCCATACTTTAAGAAGTAAGGGTTCTTATTCTTATTCAAGGCCCAATGGTGCTATTTAAAATAACACATGAATCATGGCAGGCATCTCCTCAGAAGGTGTCTCCTTCCTCTCTGTGAGCCTATGAGACTGCATAGCGTGGTATGAAGCAATATATAAATGAAGCTGCTATTGCTATTGCTATTGAGGTGTAGGAACTGGAAAGATTTTGGGTTCAAGTCCCTGTTCATCCATGAAACCCAGATTATGGAATGGCCTGCCGGATGAGATCCGTCTGCTCACATCTTTAGACAGCTTTAAAAAGGCTGTTGAGTCATTTTAACTTGTATGTTTTAATCTCTTTGGATTTAATGCTTTTTTAAGGGGGGGAGGGTGCTGGGGATTTGATTGGATTGTGTATTTTTAATATTGTTAGCTGCCCCGATTGTTCTCAGAGGGACAGGATATGAATTATTATTATTATTATTATTATTGAATGTGGGTCAATCACTATCTCTCAGTGACCTAAGTCAGATTTCCACAGAACAGACACACTGAATGATTGAAGTTTTCATAAGGGCTGACTTGCTAAATTCTCATTGGTTCAGTGGATCTACTCTAACTGGTGCTAACAACAGGAATGAGGCCAGTCTGATTTAACATATAGGGTTATTGTGTAGATAAAGTATAGGGATGCAGTGGTTCAAGTGGTTAAGACACTGACTCTGTTGACTGCAAGATTGTTTGAGGCCCAAGTGCTTCATGATGGGGTGAGCTCCTGTCACTAGTCCCAGCTTGTGCCAGGCTAGCAGTTCGAAAGCATGCAAATGCAAGGAGATAAATAGGTACCACTTTGGTAGGAAGGTAAAGTCTGTGAAGTCATGTTGGCCACATGATCACAGAGTAGTCTCTGACAATGCTGGCTCTTTGGCTTAGTCACGGAGATGAGCACTGCCTCCTATGGCTGGATACAACTTGACAACCTTGTCAACAGGGAATACCTTTACCTTTACCTTTACCTTTACCTTTAAAGTATAGGGAGCTATGCACACTACATTG